TGTGTGTGTGTGTGTGTGTGTGTGAGAGAGAGAGAGAGAGAGAGAGAGAGAGAGAGAGAGAGAGAGAGAGAGAGAGAGAGAGAGAGAGAATAAAATTTTCCTTCTCCTCTTCGACGTTATTGAATGAAATGACAGAATGAAAGAAGCCAAGTGCAATTCAACATCGGATTTAAAGAATGTGTCTTAAATCACTCTCCCAGCGTGTACTAACAATCGATCGATGAAGGTCAGACTTCCTTGTGTGTTTCACGTCGTCATCCACTAGCCCAATCTTTTCACCACCAGAGTACAGCGCCAACATCACACTATTCTCATCTTTTCAGTGGACAGCACGACGGCTGCCATACTACTGGTGACCAGCCAGAAAGATGGACGATCGAGAAAGGCAAGTACCAAGTAMAACTCTCTACCCGAAAAAAAATAAATAAAAAAAAACAATCACGTATGTATCGCTGCTCTCTCCGAGTCTAAAAGCTAGAGTCTTGATGTCCCGTGCGATCAAACGTGGGCAGCAGAACTCACAACGTGAAGGAGTGGAGAGCGCCTCGATAATCCCTGAGCTCATCTATGGTGGCTAAGCAATCAAGCGCCGTAGCCGGGAAGGAAGGTCGTCCGCCATAGCCGGAAGACCTTCCACCATAGCCGGAAGCTCGTCCGCCATAGCCAGGATCTTCTTCCCAGCTTGCCCTCATCATACCTCTGCTTCTGAACACCTCAACTTGCCCTCATCATACCTCTGCTTCTGAACACCTCAACTTGCCCTCATCATACCTCTGCTTCTGAACACCTCAGCTTGCCCTCATCATACCTCTGCTTCTGAGCCCTCATCATACCTCTGCTTCTGAGCCCTCATCATACCTCTGCTTCTGAGCCCTCATCATACCTCTGCTTCTGAGCCCTCATCATACCTCTGCTTCTGAACACCTGCATGCGCCCAAGTTGGCCAGAAAATGACTTTGACAGCACCATGAGACCAGCAGGTAAGTATCCCTGACCTGCATTTCGGCTCTCTCTGTCAGCCGCTGGACGAGGTAACCACCCCCCGGCCGGCCTCAGGGCCTACCTTCTTTCCCCTTCCCCCCCCGCCCTTGGGTTTATGAAAACGCACGAAGCGATCACTTCGAAAAACAAGTGATGGAGTGTTTGTTTTCTAGTGCCTTTCGTTTTGGAGTGTTTGTTTTCTAGTGCCTTTCGTTTGATCACTTGGGATACGCTCATTTCTAGTCCCATTGAACGTACCTAATTTTGATTCATAGATTGCAATTGATTAGCATTCAAACTGTTTATCATTCCCTCTCACCATACAACGCATATTGGTCATGAATGTATACAGGCTGTCTTTCTGACTCGGTATGCTCGTGGTGAGAATGCATTGCGTTCGATGGAAGATGATAATGCCCGGCGTTGCCTGGGCCTGGTACTGGTGAATTTGGCGTGAAAATGATGGTGCTGGATCGGAGTCTGCGAAGTCCAGGCTGACTTGGATGTGTTTTGCCACCGTTCACAAGGCTGGTGAATTTGGCGGGAAAATGGTGGTGCTGGATCGGAGTCTGCTAAGTCCAGGCCGACTTGGATGTGTTTTGCCGCCGTTCACAAGTCTGAACACGTCCGATGTGGACAGGATATTGCCCGCGCAGGCACTGGTACAGTCGTCCTGTGAACTTACCGGGAAACCCTTATCCTGTCCATACCTAACCTACCGTCTTCACCTGAATAGAACGCCCGGTCATTATAGCTGCATTTGGCACAACTTTCAGTCCAGATGCAGCGACAATTACCGGGCGGTAGTGGCATATCCCTGCTCGAAAATAGTTAGGAGCTCGTTGGCCCAAAACTTGCATCTTCGTCCGCTCGAGGACATTTCGGCCTGGCTGTTACTCTTGACTGGCGCATAGGAACAACCAGGTCACGAAATTGCAGGCACGCACGCACGCACGCACGCATGCTCAAAGTGGGAACGCATGGATTGCTCAGATCAGACTCAGAGTATACAGCTTTGGATGCTGGAGAGCTGAGATTCAGCAGATAATTGCGCTTCTCTCTCTGTCTCTCTCATTTTTGTTGACCGCACAAAATCTGTTCTCAACGAAGGAAAAATTGTGTAGTACCCTGTTATGCCTCGTCCTGTCTACCTTTGCCTTCTTTCCCCAAGCCAGCCACAAACTATCCATTACGTCCTTAGCCCCCTCACGCTCCTTGCTTCTTCTTCCTCTTCTTCAGTTGAGTGTGTTTGTGCCTCCTTACCTTGCATCAAGAACTGCTTATTGCTCACCCTTGTTATCTTGCTTATCACTTCTCCATTGCC